TATTGAATTACCCTTGCATGCCTGGGATGAAGCCTACTTGGTCATGGTGGATGATATCTTTTATGTGTTCTTGTATTCGCTTTACAAGTATTTATTGGGTACTTTTGCATCAGTGTTCATAAGAGAGGTAGGAATGAACTTCTCCTTTTGTATGTGTGTGTGTGGTTAGGTATCAAGGTGATTGTGGCTTCATAGAATGAGTTTGGTGATGTTCCTTCTGTTTCTTTTTGTGGAATAGTTTGAAGAGAATTGGAGTTAGCTCTTCTTTGAAGGTCTGGTAGAATTCTGCACTGAAACCATCAGGCCTTGGGCTTTTTTTAGCAGGGAGAATTTTGATAACTGCTTCTATTTCCTTGGGGGATATAGGACTGTTTAATCTATCTACCCAATCTTGGTAAATGGAATCTATCAAGAAAATAGTCCATTTCATTTAGATTTTCAAATTTTGTGGCATATAAGCTTTTGAAGCAAGACCTATTGAATCTTTGAATTTCCACAGTGTCTGACGTTATATCCCCCTTTTCCTTTCTGATTTTGCTGATTTGGATAGTTTCTCTCTGCCTTTTAGTTAGTTTGGCTAAGGGCTTGTCTATCTTTTTTATTTTCACAAAGAACCAACTCTTGGTTTAATTGATTATTTGAATTAATTGATTATTGAATCAATTATTTGTTTCTAATTTACTGATTTCTGCCCTGAACTTGAGTATTTCCAGCTGTCTACTTCTCTTTGGTTTGTCTGCTTCTTTTTTTCTAGCACTTTCAGGTGTGGCATTAAATTGCTTGTATGAGATGTCTCAAAACTTTTCTGAAGGCGCTTAGTGCTATGAACATTCCACTTAGCACTGTTCTCATTGTGTCCCATAAATTTGAGTAAGTTGTGCCTTCCTTTTCATTGAATTTCTGGAAGTCTCTAATTTCTTTTTTTATTTTTATTTCTTCCCTGATCCAGCTGTCATTGAGTAGAGCATTGTTTAGTTTCCATGCATGTGTTGGCATTTTGTTATTTCTGTTGTTGAGGTCTAGTTTTGGGACATGGTGGTCTGATAAGACAGAAGTGATTATTTCAATATTTTTGTATCTGTTGAGGCTTGCTTTGTATCTAACTCTTTGTTTGTTCAATTTTGGAGAAAGTTCTGTGGAGTAATGAGAAGGAGGTATACTCTTTTGAGTTTGGGTAAATGGTTCTGTAGACATCTATAAGGTCCATTTGATTTAGGGCCTCTGTGAGTGTCATTATTTCCCTATTTAACTTCTGTTTGATGATCTGTCCCTTGGTGAGAGTGGAGTGTTGAAGTCTCCCACTATTAACGTGTTGAGATTGATGTGTGATTTGAGCTTTAATAATGTTTCATTTATGAATCAGTTGCTCTTGTATTTGGGGCATAGATATTCAGAATTGTAATGTCCACTTGATGGATTTTTTTTTATTAGAATGAAGTGTCTCTCCTCACTTTTTTTGATTAATTATCATTGAAAGTCTTTTTATTAGATATTAGGTTAGCTACTCCAGCTTGTTTTCTGGGTCCGTTTGCTTGAAAAACTTTTTTCCAGACCTTTACTCTGAGGACGTGTCTTTCGTTTTTACAAAGGTGTGTTTCTTGGATGCAGCAGAATGTTGGATCCTGATTCCATAACCATTCTGTGTCTTTTTATTGGAGAGTTGAGCCCATTAATGTTGATAGATAACACTGACCAATGGATGTTAGTTCCTTTCATTGTGGAATTAGAGGTGATAGTGTGTTTGTGTGCATGTTTTCTTTTATTTTTGTTGTAAGTTTATCTATGTTCTGTGTTTTCTTGGCTGCAGTTGATTTCATTAGATTGGAGTTTTTCCTCTAGTAACTTCTGTAGGTCTGGGTTGCTGCATAGATGTTGCTTAAGTTTAGTTTTTTCATGGAATATTTTTTTTTCATCTATGTTGATTGAAAACTTTGCTGGGTATGGTAGTCTGTGTTCTCTTAGAGTTTTCATGACATCTGCCCATGCCCTTAGGTCTTTCAAAGTTTTTGTAGAGAAGTCTGGTGTGATTCTGATAGGTCTAACTTTGTATGTTACTTGGTCTTTTTCCCTTGCTGCTTTTAATATTTTTTCTTTTTCTGTAGATTTAGTGTTTTGACTATTATGGGCCATGAGGAGTTTATTTTCTGGTATAGTCTGTTTGGTGTTCTGTAGGCCTCTTGTATGTTTATGGACATCTCTATAAGTTGGGAAAATTTTCTTCTATGATTTTCTTGAAAAATATTTTCTGGACCTTGGAGCCTGGAATATTCTTTTTTGTTTTTTCCTATTATTTTTAAGTTTTTTTTTTTCATGGTGTCTTTGATTTCTTGAATGTTTTATGTTTTGAACTTTTCCAATTTTATTTTTTCTTTGAGAGATACATCCAACATCCATTTCTGCACTTTTAATTTCAGTGGTTGAGATTCTCTCTTCCAGCTCTTGTATTCTGTTGGTGATGCTTACCTTTGAGGTTCCTGATCTTTTCTCTAAGTTCTCCAGCTCCAGGCTTTTCTCTGTTTCTGTTTTCTTTATTGATTCTAATTCTGTTTTCAGTCCTTGCACCATTTCCTTCAACTTTGAATGTGGATTCCTGTCTTTCCATGATGACATCTATTTTTTACTCATTTCCTCTTTATTTGCCTCTATTTGTGTGGTTAATTCTTTGAGAGCTTTGCTCATTTTCTCTTTATGTGCCTTTAATAACCTGGTAAGTACAGCTTTAAAATAATTTTCCTGTGTTTCCAATGAGTTAAAGTATCTATTGCTTTTAGGGGTTGCTGGTTTTTGTTGGATGTGTTTTTATGCCTACCTCTAGACATTTCATGGTCAGTAGGATTTGTTAATCTTTTCTGGAGCCTGTACTGCAGACTGGGCCCTTCTGTCTCTAGAATCTGGAGTATTCTTCAGGAAGATGAGAGAGGTCTACTGGTTTGAGAGTGGGTGTTGGTGTTTCAGTTGTAGCTAAGGGAGGAATGTCACTGGCACAAGTGAGGGAGTGCAGAAGTGTTTGTGGAGGTGTGTCCTTCTGGAAGGGTGGAGTGTGAGGGAGAAGCACAAGCAAGTCCAGGTTGTGGTGCAGATGTGGTTTGCATGGATGCAGTGTGCATGTGTAAGTGCCCTGAATGGCTCAGTGGCCCACTGTCTTGGTATTGTGCTCTAAGTGCTCAGATCTGCCTGAGCTGCACCATCTTGGCTCTAGGAATTGTTTGCCTGGACTCCACTGGGAGACCCACAGAACAGGGGCTTCACTGTTGAGAATGCTGTCCTAGAGATCCCTATGTTGCCCACAGCAGGGGTGTGGGAGGGATTGGATGTCTGTCTGCTAGCTTAGATGGACCCCTTATCTGGGGCTCTGTATGTCTTCTCTCACAGAAACACTCACTAGCAGGAGTGTGTAGAAAGTGTAAAGACCCGGGTGCACTCACTAAAGCTAAGGGCCTGTGAACTCACTCACAGGCTTAAGTGGTAAGCTCAGGGAGCCCAGAGTTCTCTACTCTTGGATTTGGGTCCCCTGTTTGGTCCTTAGAATAAAGAAACACCCTGTACCTGGGGTTATGTGTTCCTAGTTGGAAAACGCAGTCTATAGTTCGCCACTCTCAGAAGCCAGAGACATCCATGGGGGGCCTGGATCCAATCTGTCCAGCTCACGGTTGTCCCCTCTAGCCCAGAAGCTACAAAGTTGATACTCTTTCTTCAGCTGCCCATCCACTAACCAGTTTTGGATCGTCTGCCCTTCAGAAACAGTGCACACTGGTCTCTGACACCTTGGAGCCTCCAAGTCAGTATGTTTTAAGAGGTAAAAGTATATCTATTAGTCTCAGATAAGACCCGTACATCCAGATATTTTGGTTATGTTGATTTTCTTGTGGAGCTCCAGACCATTCTTTCTATCTCCTCCTTCTTTTATAAGATTCCCTGAACTCTGCCCAAAGTTTGGCTATGAGTTTCAACATCCACTTTAATACCCTGCTGGGTAGAGTCTTTAAGAGTATAAGTGATAGGCAGCTATGCATTTACATGTATTTTTTGTCTTTTGTATTAATTAATTCAATTTACATCTGGGCCATAGGCCCCTACTTATTCTCCTCCCATTCCCACCCTCCCTCCAGCATCCTCTTTCCCTTATCTCTCAGAATAAGGCAGCCCCCCCTTACCCTGACACCCCAGCTCATCTGTTCACATGAGGACTGGGTTCATCTTCTCTTGTGGCCTGGTAGGAAAGTCCCATCAGGGAATGTGATTAAAAAAAAAGCAGGCAACATAGTCCATGTCAGAGATATACCCCACTCCCCTAACTACTGGGTAGACATGAAGCCGAAGATGCTCATGGGACTTATCTTCTTGGGGTCTGTGCATGTTTGTCTATCCTGTACTATGTGACTGAAATCTGCTTATAAGTGAGTATATAACATGTGTGCCTTTTTGGGTCTGTGTTACCTCAATCAGGATGATCTTTACTAGTTCCTTCCATTTGCATGCAAATTTCATGATTTCCTTGTCTTTAACTTAACAGTCAGCTTTTAATTTCTGTGTAATAGTTTATGTTGTAAAATGATGATAGGGGACAGGTTGTTTGTTTGTTGTTGTTTTGGTTCCTCAGCCTTTTTATTAATGACATGTAGGACATAAGTTTTTTTTTTATGTTTAACTGCATCTCCTCTGTTGCTGAATTCATTGTGGGTAATGGCCTGTACACCCTTGGAGGTTCAGGATGTATGATGGGTAGCAGTCAGAAAGGGCAGGGCTGCGTGCAAGAACTTGTACAAACTAATGCTACCCTTGGGAGTACTGAAATGACAGCTCATTAGCTCCTCTTGCAGAGAAATTCAGTCAGGCAAAGTAAGTTCTTTTGGATATTATTTTTCTTTCTTCCTTATGTTTTCAAATATTTGAGCAAGTTACACAAATCTTACCTCTCTCACCACCCTCTCACATCTAATAGGTCTTTTAAAAAGTATTACAAGGCAGATAAATAATGTTTTGGTCTTTTATTTTTCCAGACGGCACCTGGGGTACATAAAAGATTTTTCCGGAAAATAAAAAATCTCATTTCAGCATTTCAGAAGCCAGATCAAGGCATTGTAATACCTCTGCAGTATCCAGTTGAGAAGTCCTCATCTAGGAGTACACAAGGTACCACAGGTGTGCCTAACTGCTCAGTTTTGAAAGAGTTGGAAAGTTTAGGATTAGGTGGTCAACATATTCATGACCACATCATAAACAGGAGGAGTCACAAGAAAAATGCAGCAAGGAGGTAGCTGTAGCCAGCAAATCAGATGAGAGGTAACTATGTGAAGGTGTATGATAAGCTCTAATAGACACTTTTAACAAAACTTTAGAACTATAGAAAGTTTATGAGTCTAGGATTTTTAACCTCTTTATTTTTATTTTATTCTCCTTACTGCTTTTTGTGTAGATAGTAAGCACCATTTTACTTCAGTAATCTGTGCACATATAATTTGAAAGAGAGGATAGTTCAAGGAATATGTGGGATATCTCTTTTTGCTAATTAAACAAACTCCTTTGCCCTTCTGGCACAGAAAGGCTAATGCTAGCTTAGTTCTTATGATCCTTACTTCTGAACTGATGGTGTTTGAATGAGTGAATAAAATTTTACAGTAGCAAAGGAAATCAAATTAGCAAACTTGCTTGTTTTACTGGCATGCATTATTCTCTTGAGCAAAGCTATTTTTAGTGAATGTGTTGAGCTAAAGACTAAACAACAGCCAACGATGTCTCTAGTGTTCTTTTATGAAAATGGTTAATATTTTGTTTTGTCTGAGATGAACCTTGATTGATAGAGTTAATATATATGATAAAATGAGATTTTTTAACTCTTATGACAGAGAACCAGGCTCAGGCATAAATTGATAGGCTCAAATGTGTATTAAATTAACAAATAGTTAGCCTTTGAAATCATCATAATAATGTAAATAGAACTTTAATTTAGAAAGCAGCCAACTTTCCTTCCTGTAGAGTAGTCTATTCTTTATGACAGAGTTTTAAATAATAGCTGCTCAGGGCATAGCACTGGGGTGAATATTACAAATTTGAGTTAAACTATTATTTTAATACTGTACAAATTTGTCTTGATTTTTGCTATTCTTTTTCTTTAGGGAGAAAAGAGTCTGATGTCTGCCTGAAAGCACCATGAGGAAGAATAACTCATCCTGTACTTTATTGTCAATAATTTAAGTATATGCCAAGTCTTGTATATTGTAGACAACACAGTTCACTGAGTTGCAAATGCCTTTTAAACATGATGTTAGTCCTGTAATAGAACCATCTTGCTGGTGTCAAAGCTGAAATTGGATGTGGTAGGCAACAAGTGGTTTAAAGTGAGGATTGGAAGACAAAATCCCTTAAGGTATTTTTAGCTACTGCATTTACAAATGAGAAACAATTTAAAAGCACAATGAAGACTTTACAAAAGATTGATGTCAACTCTTGCCAAATGTAAATAAAAATAATCTTCATTTTTTTTTTTGGTCAAAAGCAAAATTTTTGTGTATTTGTTTTTTTTTTTATTTATTTTTTCATTTTTGTGTATTTGATAGCTACTGATTTGCAAGCATCTTGCTTGACTTCCTGGCTAGCTGACTGGTGTGGAAATCTAGTAACTATGGTGCCTGCGGCTTTTTTGGGGTTTTATGAAGTTCTGTGCTAAAAGAAGTATCAGATAAAGAGAAAAGGGTATTTGTTTAAATTTAAAATTGACCTTCTTGCCTATAGTTATTCTGCCAAGACAGTTAAATCTTTGGACCAGTGGGGTGTGGTAGGGCATACTTTTCATTCCAACACTTGAGAGGTGGATGCAGGGCGATCAGGAGTTTAATATCATTTGGCTACAGGACACACTGCTTCAAAAACAACAAAGCTCACAAACCAATTGGAATGTACAAGCCTGTGTTTGACAATAAGCTCCAAATGTTTATTGCATTTGATGATACAGATTTTGAGATTATGTTAGAGATCTGATGAAATGATGAAACACATTTTTCTTTTCACACATCTCTGCCCTAGTTGTTTCTAGTACAAGCAAAAATTTATTTGGAAGGGAACCTTCTTTGGCTGCATCTCATGACCAGCTGAGTTGTAATTAGATAACCTCACAAAAGCTTGTGGTTTCATTAACTTTCACCGATTCTGAGTAATTGAAACGTAAGTAAGAACTGGATTGTATGCAGCATTGTCTTCTCACATTTATATTTTCATGGCTTTTTATGATTGATGGTTTGCCAAGTTACTTCAGGGCTCACAGAATTCATTCACTCAATGAACATAATAGGACACTGGAGGCAGAGAAGTAGAAACACTGTTTTTTTTGCCTTCAGGCAGTTCACTGTCCATTTGGACAGGAAAACAATAAAAGCAATAAAAACAATAAAAAGAAAATTTTAGAAACAATGATGACTATAAAAGTTGATATGTACGATGTAGGTAGATTTGTATTTAGTGTTATGATGAATCAGCACAACACTCTGGTCCATAATCTAACACATCCAATAAAACTAACACATGAGAACTCTGGGCTTTTCCTGAATGTTGTGATCTTGGTTAAGAGTGAATAGATGGCTGAGAAACAGAGCTATTCCATGCATACTTGAGTATTTAACATGGATGATTTGAGGGTGGAAAGATGGAGTATGGCAACAGTGATGCACTGTGAGCAGCTTACTAATTGTTGAAATAACATCATTAACTTGCAAGGAAATTAAGCAGTTTACTTTCAAGATAAAACAAAATACATATATTTAAGTACTTTATTTAAAGATAGGATATAGTGTAGTCTAGGCTGATCTCCAATTTGCTGTGTATCTGAGAATGACCTTCAAGTTCTGATCCTTCTGTTTTCAGCTGCTGAATGCTTATATTACAGGCATATACCATATCTGATTTATGCAGCACCATGTCTTTAACCCAGGGCTTTGTGTGTGCTGGATAAGCACTCTACCAAGCAAATTACATCCTAAGTCCCTAAAAATATTTTAAAAATTATTTGTTTAAATTTAGATTTCAATGAATGTTTTTAACTCTCTGAAATTTGTTCATTCTAGAATAACTGAATATATGAGTGATATTTATGTATTCCTATATAAGATTCTTTTGAAAAATGTTTTCTAAAATCATTAGTGGCCTTTCACTTATAATAAAGTATTTGAAAGTTTTATATACTTATTTGTTTTTAAATAGTCATCTAAAATACAGAGACAGTCTGGTCTATGTAGTGAGTTTCAGCTCAGCAAGGGCTACGTAGAAAGACCCTGTCCCTGTCTCAAAAACAAACAAACAAATAAAAAATATAGAGACAGATACTGTCGCTAAATTAAAGCATTTACAAAGACTTCCTTACCTTATTGGAATGATTTCCTGGAAAAGTTTAGAACTTTTCTGATTTTATTATTGTCAAACTTTTCAGCCATGTGCTTCTGTCCATCGTCTCTGGCTAGATTTTACTCATCAAGTTGATTCCATTTTGTTTCTTTCATAACATGAGTAACTTTGTTATTACTCATTATGTAATAGGGTAAATTTTACAGAAAGATCATATCCTTGTTACATCTAAAATACTGTGGTAAGAGGAGGACTTTGCAGCCAGTCCTGAAGATACTTGATAAAACAGGGTCAGATGAAAGGAGAGGAGGTCCTCCCCTATCAGTGGACTTGGAAAGGGACAGGAGGAGATGAGGGAGGGAGGGAAGGTTTGGGAGGGAATGAGGGAGTGGAATACAGTTGGGATACAGAGTAAATAAAATGTAGCTAATAATAAAATAAAATAAAATACTGTGGTAATCGGGTACACCTGTAAGATGCTAAGTCAAGGTAGAAAAAAAGAAGCACATGCTGAATGAAAATGAAGATATGATTACTCCTAGGTTTGGTTGAGGAGGGCAGTTTTATTGTAGATATGAGGGCAAGAACAGCCAGAGGCACCTGGAAGAGTCCAGACTGAACAGTGCCATGAGAAAAGGGAAGAGAAAAGAAGAGGGGAGAGAGAGAGAGAGAGAGAGAGAGAGAGAGAGAGAGAGAGAGAGAGAATGAGAAGAAGAAGAGAGAGGAGAGAGTCAAGAGGGCAAAAAAGCCAAGGTCAAGCCAGCCAGGAGCCAAGAGACTAAGAGAAGAAGCCCAAGAGAGCATTATCAAAATAGCTGAGGTTATATAGGACAGAAAGTAGGAGGACAGAAGCCCAGTCCCTCAGCTGGAGAGTTTTAGGGTAGGGTGCTAGGAGAGAAGAGCTGGATGGAGCCACAGGTACTGAATGAGACTTTTCCATGATTTCTTTAGGACCTGACACAGGCATTTCCAAGAATATACCATATACCTCTTTTTTTTTTTTTCTGGGAATAGCTTAAGCTTTATTTATTGCTTGGATTTGAGCTCTTCCAGTTAGAATTTTGTTGAGTGCTTTTTTCTTACATTGTGTGCATAGCTTTTCTTTCATTTTTCAGAATGTAGGCTTTCAATTATCCTAATGTTTTATTATTATTTTCCCACAACCCCCCAGATTTTAATGTCTCTAGCTTAATCCATTTTCTGGTGTCTTCTAAAATCTTCGAGACTCTGTAGTGTTCTCGTGAGGATTCCATGAAGACAAGGCAATTGGAATTATAGTTTGCAGCCTCCCCTACCATCTGACCCTAGCCTCTCAAGTCTTACCCAGGACTACCTGGATCTACTTTCTCTGTGGCCTCGTAATGCCGCATCACCAAGGGGAAATGATCAAAGAACAAGCAACCAAGTTCATGTCAGAGACAACCCCTGCGCCCCTTACTTGGAGATTCACATGGAGACTGAGCTGCCTATGGGCTACATCTGATCAGGGGGTCTAGGTCCTCTCCATACATGGTGAATATACTTCTTTTTAAAAAGTATGTCAGCAAGATCACAATACATAGGTCAGCTTATCAAATACTTGTCCGTTTCTTCAGAAATTTGTTCTTAGAAGCATAGGTCAGTAGGAGACAAGCTTAGGCAATTGTCTGACTGTGACAGGCAAAGAACCTTATGGCAGTTCACAGCTAGAATAAATCTACAAAGGATATGTCTGAGGAAGCCACCTGGTATAAATAAAGGGCTGGATAGAAGGTAATCTTTCTTTAGATAGAATGGATAATTTAAAAATGTGAGAACCATTTTAAAATCTGTTATGAATGTTATGACATTAGGCTACGTTTTATTTGATTCAATTTATTGAGCTCAGAATCCAAGGTCTATTAATAATAAAACCCAGATTTGCCCTTGAGTGTTTCAAGGTTACATGAAAACTGGTTTTCTTGTTAGGGTGCTATAAATTCAACTGTGTTACCTGTGTTTGCCCTTGCAGGAAATGAGATTTTATTATTTTTCAGTTTGCAGCTAGGGGTAAAGTTAAACTACCCTAGTTTGGAGATTTTTATAATTTGGGGTCAGTGGCTAAATTTGTACTAAAAGGCTATGTGTACGTTCCTGTTCTTGTGTGCATAGTTGTGGATGCCACAGGATAACCTCTCATAACCTTCTTCAGCACTGTCTACCTATTTTTTTTTCTGGAGACAGCCTTTCTTTCTGGCCTGGAGCTCACCAAGTAGGCTGTGCTGTCTGGTCAGGGAGCCCCAGGAATCTGATGTCTTTGCTTCCCTTGCAATGTTGGGCTTGCAAGTATGTGCTACCATGCTGCTATAAGAAACAAAGCAAGCAAACAAACAAACAAAAACAACCAAGTATTCCTATTAATTCTTTGAGAATTTCATTTAATGTGTTTAAACATATTCACCCTCCCTTCTCAAACTCCTTTCATAACCACACTTTCCACTCTCCTACTCCTTCCTATCCAATTATGAGATTTTTTTTTGTTTCTTTTTTCTTTCCCCACCTAGTCCAGCATGTGTTTTCTAGCCAGTCTTGGGAATGAGTCCTGCCTTAAATTTCCAGCCTTCCCCACCCCTATGTGTGTTGAGGGGATCAAATCCAGAGCCTCATGCTTTCACAGAAAATATTTTACTGACTTTGGTTTTTAAAATGAATGTTCTGATGTAACAAATGTGACAAATCGGCTAGATAGACCCCATCAACAAAACACACAGACACACACAGACACACACACACACACACACACACACACACACACACACACACACACCTTGATGCTCCTCCTCAACCCTTAAAATTAAATTA